TTGTGAAGTAAAAGCCAGTTCCATCTTCCTGTTACTCCTCCAGCCTCTGAAGAGCCTTTCGTTCACTCAGAGGGCAGCATTTGGCCCTTTGGATTCCAATACCATTAAGCCCGTAAGACACAAAGTGTTGCACCACATGATTGATGCCGTTTGAGCTGGACTACCTGACATAGCAGAGTTCTCAGAGCCAGTCCAAATGCAGCGGTCGATAATCATACACTTAGCAGTTGCCACTCCACTACAACAGTGTGCTTTGGTAATCATCACCAAAATACCCTGGACCCATCTCTCCCAGCACATATTTCTTATCCATTCCTGGAGCTCCTGTTGGTTTCAGTGACAGCTCCAGGCGCCTACAGTAGCAGAGCAGCAGCGTGTGCAGTACTCAATGATTTATATTTGCGTGGCTTTCAAGCTAATAAGCAAAAAGGGCTCATCAATCTTCTCCTCCCCAGGAAGTTGGAGCATTTGATTATTTTTATTTTGTGGATGAGGAAACCGAGGTAAAGGAGCCCCCTAAAGTGAGGAGATTAAAAAAAAAAAAAAATACAGCTGATTCTTAATGGCCTGAAGCTAATGTTTGACATCTGATCTTCTAACAGGTGGCATGAAGCATTTTGACTACTCAGCAGAAATGATGATTCATAGAGATACTCACGCCAGTGGGAAACACTGCCACTCCATTGTGAAAATTCTATTTTGCTCTCTGAACAATGCTTTTTACTTAAGACTCGGCAAGTTGATTGATATAGAAGGACAAATGGTGCCGATTTCTTGCTCTGCCTCAACTTTGGTCAAGTTAGATGGACAAGTGCCCTGTATTCTCTGCCCATTGAATTGCCTAGACCCCGCCTCTGTACCATTGTAGTAATAACCAACAATACAGGTAAAAGAGGGTACCGCGTGTCTTGCTTCTTTCGGGATGCGTTTGCACTAGAATCATTTCCTAAGTATAATAAATTTAGGAGCCTCCCACAGTGGAACTGACAGCAAAGGCAAAAACTGTCAACCCACCCCCCCCAGTGATGGAAAACTTCTCAAGGTTTTCCCAGCAGTGCATTAGGCAGCTCTGTAAGAACCCACTGTTGTGCGCGTTTTGAGACTTCACGTCTTCCATTAACCAATTCTAAGACAGAAGACCAGTGTCTTTATTTCCCATGTTGTTGAAGTACTTTACATAGACTTTAACCCAGTTGCTAATTGCTTGAATTTGTTAAATGTACAAAAAGACCTACTCCCCGTTGATGGAGTAAAAGTAGATGTTTGATTAAGTAGATAGCTAGATGTGCTTTTTTTCCCCCCATCTGGATGTGTTAAGGGGGTATGTTTGAAACTTAGCACTCAGTTCATGCCTTTCATAAGGGGAGGGAAGAGGGTATTTAACAAGGTTAATAATGACAGAAAGAGGAATTGACACCACAAAAGAAAAAGAATCATTCTAGCATTTCATGACAGTTCAAAGACAGATGTCGTTGGCTAAGTGAGAATCTCGTAGACATGGGGGTAATATACACCTTATATGCATATGGATTAGTGAAAGCAGACTGTCAAATTGGTAAGTGTAAGATTGTCAAATATGAGACATAGCTGCAGAAAACCTGGAGAACTACTTACTATTTATTTCTTCACTTAAAGACCCAATCCTGTTGTCTTTTTTCAAACAAAAGACCAACTGCTTTAAGGACTGAGGCAGGGAAAGTGTAGGATAGGGCGGAAGCTTTGTATTGGGGTCTCCCGAGGACACCAGGGCTAGTCACCAATTCTTGTTTGAAGTACATTTTTTACCTTAATCATATGCACACTATTCCCTTTTGTTTCATTAGACTTTAGCTCATCCAACAGGGCCATGTCTAATTCATTTTTCCTGATGTCCATGATGAGGGTTATTAAAAGTGCGATCAGTGAGTCTCCAGATTGAGCAAGTTGTATTTGAAGCCCCTTGGAATTAGTTTGATAAGGGACATCAACCCCACCCAAGTGATGTTATGATCTGCCATAACATTAGAT